GCTAAAATATTGTTACTGTATGAGAGCGAGGCGCCTACGATCACGACCGTTCAAGCTGCGTGCCTCTTGGCTCTCCGGATTATGTCAGATGGCAAGGAGGCTCTCGGATGGCTTTACTCAGGTAAGCACACTGACGGTTTAGGAGTTGCCTGGATTTTCTGACAGCGTTTCTAGGAAATGCAACGAGAATGGCTCATAATCTTGGCTTAAATCTTGATTGTTCAAAATTTGTGACTTCCGGGTTGTTGTCGGAGGATGAAGCCGATACGAGAAAGGTGACGTGGTGGGGATGTTATGTCGTGGATAAGTAAGCGAGCCTCTTGTCAAGCTGTTCAGTCATGGAAGGGTTTATGGGAGAAGTACTGACTCCAACCTTTATAGGCTTTTCTCACTTGGGTTGGGCAGACCAAGCAGCACGCCGAAGTCGAGCATCACTTGCCCGAAGCCCAGTATCGATAACGAGGAAGAATACACGCCTTGGAAACCGACACCTGGCGGGGCATTTGATGAGAGCACTCTTGGAGTACACTCTCACATCTCATCAACAGCTCACCATGTATCAGAAACTTACACAATTGCATGTGAGGCCATGGATTTGATGTAAGATCCTCACTTCAGAGCAGAGTTTTCTTCATGTTGACAATTGTTAGATACGCAATCAACAGCAAGCTTTCACCGAGAGAGATTGAGGATATCGTTACAAAAGCCGATGTCGAGTTACAGTCACACTATCGAGCGCTACCTAGCTACCTCCGCCTACCTTCTTCCCCCAAAGTACCGATGCTTCCACACATCTGCTTGTTTCAGTGAGTATCGCCTTGTGTCATCTGCAAGCCCTCTTATTATTGAAGCTAATGGACCTGCTTAGCATACAATACCATGCCCACTTAATTCTCTTACACAGGCCCTTGATGAGGAAGAGAAAATCAAGGCGTTCTGTAAGCAAGAGCGCATCATCCCCGGAAGATACAAGCAGCCTGGCGGATGACGAATACGCAAACGAGCATATGGCCACATGTCGCCATTCAGCGGCAGAAATTGCAAGGCTTCTGAGGGTTTACAAGCAGCAATACACTCTGGTAAGTTTCTCACACTCTGTCAAAGTTCCTGTCCGTTGGATGAGTAGGACCCAACTGACAATTATCGACTAGCGTCGTATACCGATCGCAGCTGTTCATCTATGCTTCTCAGCAGTTATCATCCATCTCATCGATGCTCGACCATCAAACCCCAAGAGGCAACTGGCGATCCACCACTTGCAGACGTGTATCGATGCCCTCAGGGATCTGAGGACGGCGTGGTGTGCCTGGAGTGATCGAGCACTGCGGGCGATTCAGTTACTTGCAAGAGAGTGGTACCACTGCGACGACGTGTCGCAATTACAGCATGTCAACAATCCTAACAGAGGAGGAGTCCGTGAGGCAGGCTACGTTAGTTTGGGCGATTTGGCTATGAGTGTGGGAGGGGGCGCAGCAGGCGGCCAGCTTATGGGACCTCCAGTTGCTTCACCAGGCGCGACTGTCGAGAGCACGATGGGGAACACAGGTCGAGAGCAGGCTGTGGCGGAGGGAGACCCGCTGGCCTTTCTCTTTGATGCCAGTATGCCAGATCAGTACACTGATACGCTGGTCAGAGAGTGGCTTGCAGAGAGCGGGTACGATGATATGCTGAATATGGGCAACCAGTAAACAGACTGGTGACCCTAAAAATAAAAATAAAAATAAAAATGATTCTTGGTCTGGCGTGGGGGGTTCAACACCCGAATGCCGCCGATCGAATATTCTCAAGTCTGGTATGTCCACGTGCTGGCGACGACGCGTGAAGTATTGTGGTTAGACTTGATCAGGCAGCCAACGTTGGCGTGCGATAGAAAGGTGATACCTAACGCGGGTTACGCGGACGTCATCAGTCTAGCGCGCTGCGGGAGTCCAGACTCCTTGCGTTAAATCGCTCAGCCGAGCCTGTCATCGCAGAGAGTCCTCGCAGAGGATGAGAGGGTCCTGGTGAGACCCGCTGCGCGGCCGTTCAGCTCTGCACCAAATTGGTAAATATAGGGGCGATCATTTCTTGGCGGCATGCTGCAGGAGGACTCCGCGGAAAGACTCTCTTGTCTCGCTTTCGATGAGTTGCTATTGGCTAACCGAATTTCAGAGGCTGCAAGCCACCGGACTCCGACCTTTTTTTGATCGCGAGTGATAGTCTACAGCAGCGTTGCCGGAGTGCCAGGTTTGGGTATTTATCAGCGAGGCCTTAGCAAACTAAACTTGAGATGTTCTGTTTCCTCACCTCCACCCACTTCCTCTCCTATTACTGAACACGAACTACAAAGATCTCGAGAGGCTTGCGAGCCTCTTCGGCGACTCTAGCATCTGGGGATTCCTCGGTGCACTTTTATCCACTTTTCAGAAGGGTCGCCGTACCCCTCAAGCGGCGGCCCTTTGAACCCTTCCAATCGACCCACCAAGTTGGTGTGCGTTTGTCACCCAACAAGACTTCATCAACTTTAACGACAACACCTGCCAAACCGTACCTCCAACTCTCTGCCAACAACCACATGTCCCTTCAAGTACAGACGGAGCTTCCCGCGACCAAGCCTCTTCTCACTTCTTGCATGGATTCCCTCATCTCGATCTTACATCGCCACTCTTTCAATGGAGTTTGGATACCTATCTCAACTCGGAAGATGATTTCGGCCTTGACCCAACCAACGAAGTCTCGGAAGCCGATTTCCAATATCTACTTCAACCAACACGACCTTCAGCTTCGGAAAGCGACTATTTCGCAATAAGCCACCCACAATCAGCTTCGGGACGCGACCATTTCGCTATAAATTCCCCAGTCGCGCCACTCGCGACCTCGACTCCCGAATCAACAGATCCAGCGACGTCAAACAACCAGTCGCCAACAGAAACGCGACCAATTCGCAAAAACAAATGCCAAAACCCTGGCTGCGGGTATTCCACCGATTTACCCAAGGATCTGACCAAGCATCGCCTCAAGCATGAACCGCTGCCCCGACATCAACGCCCCCGGTGCCCTAATCGCGGCTGCGGCGAGACTTTCACGAGAGAAGACAACTGTAAGCGACACATTCGAAAGAATTGTCGCTATCGATCGCACAACAAATGAACCCATAGTGCGACTCTGAGTCTCTCGGTGAGTTCTTCCTTTAGCAGATGGGTTCCGTCTAGCCTAGGTGCTAATAAAAACGCAGTTGCAACCCGTAAGGAGAACATCACCGCTTTTTCAAACAAAATAATCAACTGCGAGCTTGAAATCGACGCATGCGGCTATTATGTGGCACAACAAAACCGCTCCAAAAATGGAAGCAACGCCACAAATTCTCTGCCCAAATATGGCAACTACATCAAATCTAAGCCGAAAAAGCTGACAATAATTAGCCGAGACACATCACAGCTCTTCAAAAACCATACATCGGATGTTGAGCTTCCTTACCTTCTTGTACTGAATTGATACTGGTCGCAAAGCCCTTGGCTTGGAGTTCCAATGAGGTATAAGTTGGATAAGGGTACCTTCTCAGACAAGAGTGTTGAAAACGGTAAAACCTACCAGACTCTCTTGGATCGCGTCGTGGAGCGTTGAAACACCAACACCAAACATTACTGCCGCTCAAATGAATTGCTGAGACTGTTACGTTGTATGTGTCAATTTTCATAATTCAAATAGCAATACCAGAGAATACTTTGAATAGATCGGGCTGATCAGCCGATATTCTCTTGTCAAGATCAATTCACTTCAGACCTTCTCTTGTGATGCCTGAACCGTTTCTATTACAACATGCATTTCTGTCATTTCATGGTGACCAATTCAATATTAGTGAACTTGCATCACTTTTCAATGCTGATGGAGGCATGCGTTGTTGGACATCTAAACTTTAAGATAAGACAACTACCTAGTCTCTCTTTGAATGATTGATTTCACCTAACAGAGCTACCTACATCACTCCAATATTTAGAAAAGTGACGTGCAGAGTTTCTTTCTTGAAACATCTCCTCAAACCTCTCATCACGGCGTAAGCTCCCCGGGTAGTGGCTAGCGCATTATCGACACCAGTGAGCGAGAATCAATAACTGAGAGTTGCGGTATCAGCCTTAGACAGATGGATTTCGTGTCGCGGGAACAGACGGTGGTTTATGGCAAGTGTCCGGAGACAAAGGTCACGCCGGCTCACTGTTGTCAGTAGAATGCGACAGTGGCGATCACGGTTCTCCGAAGGTTGGGCTGGCGGAAGACGGCTACCCATGCTGAAAATTCCTGATCCACCCGTGCGGCCTTTTCCATGTCGAAGGCCCTCTTGATCACTTTGAGGTGTTCCTCGGGCTCGTGTCTATCATCCTTGAACGCACGAAGTGCTGCCATGGTCTTCTCTTCTTGTCCTTGCATAAGGAGCCAGGATGAAGAGAGCTAAATTGACGGCAATGTTCAAAAAGAGTAAGATGTACATCGGTCAGTACCCCATAGTCATACGGTTGACAGGGTGCAGTTGTCGTGCACAAGACATAACGAGCTGCTCTTGGAGAAATACCTAATTACGGATACGTGCCGGCGAGACCGGAGTGCCCGGGACCATCGGGACTGTCGATCTGACGATGTCCGTGGTTGACGCATGTCGGGTCCATCGGGCCACCCCGCATGATCCCGCGTAGCCCGGTGCCGCCACGCAGAGCTACAATCTTCTCACTACTCACCCGTTGAATATCCGTACATGACTGCGTCTAAGTAGGCGAAAGCTGAAACGAGGACTCTCTTCACAAAACATTCCCAAAACACTAATGTACCTTGAAATTTCCACAGTGGCACCGGCCAACTACAGATAGGGGACCGGAGTCTCTCCGTCCCTCCCCGCAACCTCTTTTCCCGGCTTGCCCGCCAACAGACGCTCGTTATCGCACATCTACCCAATAGTTGTGGAAATGACCAAGACAGTGTAGTACATTTCCTGTCTATCCTTCATGGTCCAATTTCTTGATTGAGTCCAGTTACATTGGCGTAAAGTTATATCGCAAGCACCCAACGTCAATGTACCCACCCCGGCCCTCATCGCCCGTACCTGAACACGTTGTTAGTCGTGAAATACCAGACCAGTACTGACTTTCGTTCTACTCACAGCTCTTCCAGTTCTCCACAAACAAGTTCTCACAGGGGGTTGTGTGAACCTTGGGCTTCTCGCCTAAAGGGTCTCCACAATCGATAGTCTTGACGGTTGATACGCAATCTGATCTCCAGCTAATCTCCATCTCATACCTAATACCACCCTTGGTAGGATATCCATTTCTGGTCAGTGAATCTGCGGACATCGACGCTTTACCTAAAACACATGTCGAACAGGCACTCTTTGCAGCAAGAAATACTGAGTGTTCTTGTATGTCAAACTGACCGGTGTAGATGCTCGCGTCGTGGCACTTGCGCTCGCCAAGCGCAACTGGCGTCTTCAGCGTCTCTGTGGTAGTCGGCACGGGATCGGGCGATTTTGACGTGACAGTAGATAGAGTGGTCTGCACAGCCGTAGTCTTGGAAGGCAGGTCGGGTAAGACGCAGACACACTTCCCGTCGACGCAACCGTTAATCTGAGGTGCACTGCAGACGACTCCAGGGGAACACTTGTCGACTGTCCTCTCGGTGCAGACAAAACTGGTGGGTGCTGGCAGATTGGGAAGAACACAGACGCACTTGCCATCGACGCAGCCGTTCACCTTAGGCTTACTACAAACGACGCCGGGAGCGCACTTGTCAGCAGTCTCCTCGGTGCAGACGAATGTCGTTGGAATGACAGTGGGTGCCACTGTGCCGCTGCCTGTGGGTGTTGCTGTTGCTGATGGATTGCGCGTTGAGCCTGCAGAAGCTGTTGGAGAAGTGCCAGAAATACATTGACCAGTCAAGGCCGCGCCTTCTTGTCGCCGAAGTCGGAATATGTTGGTGGTGCCTGCAATGTAGGGAAAAAAGCCTTCGCGCTCCAGACTCTCAATAGTCGCGCCGTTCCAGATTCCCAAGACTCCGGTGTTGTCCTTGTTTTGTCGCACCCAGCCGTTGTTAATGATGTAGCTCTTCAACCCAGCTGGACTCATATCAGGCTGGTTCCCCTTCTTGTCAGGACCTAGGCGTCCAAGCTGATGCAATTTGAGGAAGTAGGCTGCAAGTCCGGCTGTGTACGCAGTTGCTGTAGGTGTGATGTCAGCCATCCAGTCGATCACCTTCGCTCAGATTTGTACTCACCATCCGAGGTCCCCTGGGAGAACTTGTAGTGGCTCTATTTGTTTCCATTCTGTCTCTTTTCCGCATTCGTACCCTCAGACTGAGAAGTCTCTGGCCATTCGTCTCTGTTCCCGTTCGCAACCAAAAGGTTCGCGCCTGGCGCATATATGTGTGGTATCGCATCTGCCGTATTTGGTGGCTGTCCGGACATCCACCATCGATTTCCTTTGTCAGGGTGGGCGGCCCCCACGACTAGTAGCTCCGGTATGGACAGGTCGAAGTCTTTTGTCAGTTCAGATGAGAAGGTGGCAGGCAAGGTGTTTATCTGCATTTTCACATCGTTGGCCCTAGATCTCCAAGTATTGGATGAACTTACAGCTGCGCCGTTTCCTGCACCGGTAACTACAAAAATACCTTTTTCAATGAGACCAGTCAGAATACCATGCATGGACTTCCTAAATATAATCCACGCTTCTGATATTAGCTTCTCGTTGTCCTGCCCTTCCTTCTTGTTTGTCTTCTCCCAGTCACTCTTGAAATCATCAAACCTGTGGCCCTGTGCCATGCAAAGAATGGCTCTTGTCGTTGTAGTTTTGTCAGCGAATACACCAGCAACCGCAGACATGGCATCTATCCAATCTTCGGGTGTTGCTCCACCGCCCTGCTTTTCACGGCGCGGGACACGAACCATAATCGGTTTTGCCTTCTTCGCAATCCCTATATTTGCGCCGGCAACAATGCTCAACATGGAAGTGCCATGCGGTTTACACTTGCCAACTGGAGGACATCTGCCGCCCTTTGGTATATTGGAATCGTCTCGGTGCTGCTGACCATCAAAATCCTCGCCGACGAAAATGAACTCGGTTTTGGAGGCTATCTTGTTCCGGAGATTGAACTCCTTTACCACAAAGTCAGCATAAGCTGTGCACCAGACGGATGAACTAGAGATAATTGAAACTCACAATGTGATCCATCGTTGCTCCAGTGTCCACGATGTACACTGGGACGTCTTCTCCAGCACTGACGTCGAAATAGTAACGTCCATTGTATCGCTCGTCTTGAGATCCCCCGTTAGCTGAGATGTATGACATCTGCGCTTGGTGATCCTCCAAATCAAGTTGTTCATCGAGATACTGATTCTGGTATCGCCATGATATCTTCGAATCCTGCAACGTTGGGTCGGAGCAATCTGATTCACAAGGACGGTAGACAGACGCAACCTGAAATATTAATTAGTGATGCACAAAGCAATTCCGTGATTCTTCACTCACATTTGGCATCGTCCTCACACTTTCAGCTTGGTCTAGATCCAGACGTACTCGCCAAAAGTTGACCCTCAGATCTTTCACAGCTGATACCTCGATTTTGCCGCCATCAGGGAGCATTTTCTGCATTTCGGCGTAAACTGCGGAAGTCTCATCATTTCGGCTCCCATCCCGAGGCCAGACGATGTATTCGTAAGTCATTGGACAGTTGGGCACATCACCTTCACCTGCCTGGCGCTTGTTGCTTCCGCTCGGTGCGGGTGTGCACGAGACAGTCGTTGTAGTTACCGTAACATCGCATCCCGCTCTGGAGTTTCTGGTCCTCGTGGAGCAGGCCGTTGCTCCACCACCACTGCAGGTAACGATGATGTCGCTAACAGTTGCAGTTTCGCATGTGGCTGTCGTCGTAAGTGTCGCTTCATGAGTCGAGTCCGCAACCACACAACCACGCATCTCCGCGCATGTAGAAGCAGGTGCCCCAGTTTCAATGGTTGCCAGGCCTCCGATTATACTCGATACAATCGCAGGGGTGGTTGTGGCGCAGAGTGATGCTGTCTTGGTCTCACACTTGGTAGGCTCGGGCTCGGAAGGAAACGTAAGAACACGATCGTTTCCAACGCTAGTAATCAGAACATGAAATTCAGATCATGAAATATGACTGAGAAAGGCGGTTTCTGGACTTACGTGAACTTCGGCCACGGAGGCAACTCGCCTTGAATCGATATTGATTGGGGAAGCTTGATAATCTGATCAAGACGTAGATGTCTATCGCCAAGCTCACATTAGTATTATGTTCCCAGCCAGTTTATGTAGAAGGCGTTTTGATCTCACGGAGGATAAATGCCAGGTGGCGGAACTTACCGAGAAAAACCATAGGCTACAAGGAATGACAGCGCTCTCGTCATCTTCCGAGGGCTCTGGCTTGTTCACACTAATTTCAACGGGCGTTATCAGAGCTTTGGGTGGCCATGTGGTGAAGGTGGCGAAATCTGCAGTAGAGGATGTTCCAGTAGAGGATGGTCCTTCGGATGACTCGACTATTGTGATGGTTGGGGGATCTCCAGATACCAAAGTGATGGTTCGGCCCTATAATGGCCACGATAGATCCCGTTGAACTCAATACGGAATTTGTCGGTGACAAGGATGTCAGTGATGGCGATAGCGACTTGGTGGAGATGCTTGTAGTCTCGGATGGCGTTGAACTTGTCGGTTGCGGTCCTGTCGGTGCAAGAGTTGGCGACCCTGGAGCTGAGGTCCCATCAGGAGGGGATGTTGGTGTGGGAGTGAGGCTCGTAGACATTGGCGGCAAGAGAGTAAAGGTTGAGTCCAAAGTGACTAATGTAGTTGCTTCTGAGACTGAGGGTAAGGTGGCGGTTTTGGATCCAATCACCACAAAAGTTGGGTATGACATCGTGTGATCTCCCTCTGCGGCCGGTGCAATAGTGAAGGTGTGACCAATGGTGGTGAGAGTCGTTGGCGAGGTTAGCTCGGTAACAGTCACAGTCTCTGTTCCAATGATGATGACAGGCCCGGCTTTTGAAGTGATATCAGGCAGACCTGTAGACGTCAGGGAATTGGGTGGGATTTCCGTGGTCCCAGTGATACTTTCGTAGTTTGTGCCTGGTGATGAGGGTGTTTCACTGCCATGGTCCGGGTGATTGGTATTGGATGTCACGTTGTTCACCGTAGATACAATAGTCGATTTCGGAGGAGAACCTGAGTAGATAGTTGTCATAGTGCTTGGCTGCACTCCCGAAGGGTAGGAGCTGGCGTCAGTGGTGTCGATTGGTTGGGCTGGAGAATGCGTTGGCTCATCTACATCAGTAGTGGACGCACCGCCGTGTGAGGAAAGTCCCGATGTTGTAGGGTATGGGTCGCCGGATTCATCGGGATTTGGCACGGGCGGGATGATCTGACCATCGGGCCCAGTGCAGCTGAAGTCGGCGTTGCAGGTGAAGGTACTGTCAGGACAACAACCAAACCCACAGCAAATTGTCCCTGTAACAGCTTTGGTTGGACACGGTTATATGTTTGAGTATAGGAAACATTGCGTACCTGGACCGCAGAGATTGTGCTTTGAGCTGGGGGTTTCGCAAAATGTGTCCCTGTCTGTACCGCAGCGATCCTGACACCAGTACTGTCCATCGGGGCATTCTTGTGACCTGACGACGATCGCACTGAGAGTCAATACCAGGAAGTAGAAAATGAGTCTTCGGCCTTGACCTTGCCACATTTTGGTACAAGCCTAAGAAGTAATGGTAGTGGTAGTGGTTATAAACGAGTTGAATTTTGTAGAAGAAGCAACTTGCAACAGGGTATCAAGAGGGCGTTCGCAACGTTTGGCTCTATATTTGATTTTTTGACGGAATGAACTTCGTCGAGTTCTTATAAAATACCAAATGCCATCAAGTCTGTCCAACAACTTCGGCCCCCGTGTTGGCCACTTGACCATTTCATGATTTTGAAACTAGCTGAAGCCCAAGACGCTCGTAACCTGCCAATACTCGTGCCATTTTCGAAAACGAGCAAATGCTCCGTGGGGGCGTTGTGGTTTTCGAGGCAACACTCGCCCCCGATTTTGGCATCACGAGTGGCTTACTGCTGTTGGTATGACTGCTACCAAAATAGTTCAGTGCATGGTATGCGGGGGCGGGAATCATGGAATTTGGCTGGGTCACATTTTCAATGTATGAACACGAGGCCAAGGTAATTGGTACGTTATTCTGCATGATCTGGTAAAATTAGATGTTGTACATGCTGGCGCTCCGGTATTTATGCATTTTCCCTGGAACTCCCGTGAAAGGATGCGATGTATCATTGCCTTACCCTCTTGGTATTCACGGGGAAACAGTCTCTTTGTAAACAGAATGAAAGATGCAGCTGCAGAGCTTGTTCCTGGTGGCTTAGCTTAGAAGGGCTTGCGTCCTACTGATTACACCAAGACACAAATCATAGTTACAGATCCGGATTAGACCTTTAAACGGGAACAGGCTGGCGGACTACTCAGTTGAACTCGGATGGGATTTGGTCATCAATTCCCCAGTACGTATGCTCTAACCTAGCAAGTTATGTGCAATGATTGCCTCACATCCTTCCATTTCTATGCCCACAATCTAAGTTCTCAGTGGTCGTCTAAGTCTCCGCGGCAAAGGGATGCCAATTTCGTCGCCAGGATAGTCGGAAAACCAGTTTGGGCGTTCTACCAAACGGACCTATTCGTTGCGAGTTCAACACATCCCTAGACAAACAGGTTTAGAATTAGTACCTCTAGTAAGCCCTGTACCTTTGAAATCTCATCTTCACGAAGCTCAACGCGCCAATAGATGATCCCGAACGGAAGTTCGGTACGGTATGAGGGCTCAATGAGAGAGTTGGAACCAGTAATTGCGAGCAGGTTTTCCGAGCCACGACTGGCAATTTCATGGTTATTCCAGCAGTCGTCTGTACCCCAAACAATATACTGCTTTCTTGTTGGGTCTTTAGGCTCCGGGACTGGATTTGAAGTGTTGGACATCAGTTGCCCAAAGAATTATTTCAGGAGTAACTACCATACTTTGCAAGCGGTCATGTACTTGGCATCGATCAAGCAGAGAACCGCTTACATTCTAAATCAAGGTTATTACATGTATCTTCAGTGCGAGCTTTTCAACAATACCTCTGGCCAGGTGAGGGCTTCGTAGAACTCGTCCTTGGTGAGATGGGCACGCCAGAAGAGTAGTCCCAAGTCCCTCGTTTCACATGCTTGAATTCCCGATGCATCTCCAGTCATTACAAGGAGCTTTTCGTACGCCCGTTCGTTCATTTGAACGTCGCGGCCGTCGCCTGCTGGCCATATACTGTACCACCGACGATCATCGCATGTACATCTCCAGACTTTCGCGATATAAAGCTCAATTAGGGAAAGAGGAGATGCACTTCTCGAGTCTGCAGATGGCAAAGAGGGTGCAGATTCCAGCAGACTTTGACTGGTGTTTGTATGTCCAATCTTATCACTGTAGATGCTCCCCGACGATGAGGAGGTTGTGATGCTGCACGTATTGGTAGGAGTTGAATCGCCACTTTTCCCTTTCGCTGTAACTGTATCATATTTCAGTCATGTTCGATGAAGAACACCGTGCCGTTCAACACTCACCCACAGCCTTTTTCAAATACCGAACACAGTCTCTGATCCTCCTCTTCAGGTTTTCGATAAGATTCATTGCTGAGAGCTTTGCCGGCGTATCTCAATCGACGTTGTAAGAATACCGGGCGGTGTGGAAGTGGCAAGAAAGTGACGTGATACTGTGTCAAAGACGAGACAAGAACTGAAGACGCACGCTCAACTGTGAGCGGGTCAGGGCAGCCATCTGCCCTCACTGCAGGAGAATGATCCGCCGCCCCCAGACGTGCGAAAAGGCTCTTCCGGCTGCGATGTGCTTGGCGAAGACAGTGAGTTCATGAGAACAAAGAGGTGGTAGTTTCAAAAAATATTAATATCGCGGGGAACAGTCGTGTCGTTGGTTGTAGCCGCTGACCCTTTTGGCCCTCCGATAGCCCCGCTGCATTCTAGCCCCCAACACCTCCTCTCCGCACCAACATGGGCAGCCGAGACCATGCGATGCAGGTTTCCTTCATGTCGGTTTGTGAATGTCGGCCCCTGAGCACCAACAGCCGATGTTCACCGCCTGTCAACTTTCGGGGCATTCTCCTGATCGATCGCTGCTTCCTGCGCGGTATTTCTGCTTGCCCCCACTTCCACAACCGTGATTGCTTCCGCAGTTGTTTGTCACACACCAAGCAACAATCTAGAACGGCTTACCAACACCCGACCACCTCGGTCTGCTCAACGAATGCAACCGATCTGAGGGGGGTCCAACAGCCCGCACCTGCGTCGACCTCAAGCTATCCTTGCTCGGAGGATCTCCGTCGGTTCTGGTCCATCTTGCCGCAGCACTGGGAATGCTTTGATTCCTCTTCCAGTACTTTCGACGGTTTGCGCTTCAGACTTTGATCAGGTGTGCCGTTCGTTCAATTGAAACCTGACAATTAACAAAAAATAAAGGTGGCACATCGGAATTCTCTCAGAGACCAAGACGTCTTCCCTGAAAATAGTTTGCGCGTGGATCATCAATTTCGTTCCTCAGCCGTACCTTCAATGTCCACATGACATTCCTTGGATACCCTTGCAAAAACCATCAGAATGCACGACACTTCAGGCGAAACTTAGAACTCACATGCAGTGGATATGTCTTGATTCCTTTTGCCTGTCATGTTAGTTAAATCTAAAGCAGCCGGCCATCCCCGCGCCGACTAAGTCCATATCCCTAGGCATCCATCTAGGCTTGGATGGTTTCATCGCCCTTTTCTCCCTGTTAGGTATAGGTCTTCCAACATCGTAATGAGGATCGAAACCTGAGTTTGCGAGCTCTACTTCACGAATCTGCTCATGGTTAGACATTACACGTGGTTGGACCGCAGATAGGAAGTCGAGAGCACGTACTTCTGGGATGCTTTCCACTGCATCAATCTGTTCATCCAGGATGGTTATCTGCCAGTACAAATCTCCTGATGGATGGCCTGAAGTTTTACGGTGATGTGTAGCCTCCATACGCGAGCAGTGGCCTAAAACGTCGAGGAGGTTTCTGGCCCCCCGCATGGCCACATCATTATCATTCCAGCACTCTTCTGTTCCCCATGCGATGTACTGTTCCGGACTAGGCTTGCAAGAGCCTGGCATCAATGTTACAATCATTCTTGGAGTCTTGCATTGGGTAGATGTACACACCTTCGTTGCGCGCAGGGCATTCCTGCGGGGTTCCCACGGGCGAAAGAATCTCGTGAAACTTAGCACTAGCCATCTTGACTTCAAGCAATATTCCATACCTCTGGCCAATTAGAGACTTGTTCAGCCTCTTCCTTCGTAACCCGTACTCGCCATTTTATGACACCGAGGTCCCTTGATTCGAACACATCAACATGTGAGGAGCCGCCACAGATCGAGACGAACTTTTCGTATGTCCGCTCGTTCAGGTACTTATCAAGACCATCCGTTGCTGGCCACAGAACGTAATACTTGCTCTCTGAGTGACAAGTACATATCGCGGGAGCTGAGACGACATATCTCTGTTTCAGATCGGACGGACCGGACGGCGACAATTCTCCTTTCGGTTGGGTTACCATTGCGGTACGCGCTGTGTCGTGGTCGATTTCCTTGAGAACAGAACCGCGCAAGCTAGTCAAAGAGCTGTTACTCGATAGCGCTGAATTTGTGGGGCTGAGCTTTCCCATCACGTCGGGGTTTCGATATTGAGTTTGAGGTACTGAAGTTGCTTCAACAGATGCATTCGTGCGGAAAGTAACATCAGCGAAGGTAGGTTTCAGACCTACCTAAGACATTTTCCAAGTATCGGATTCGATTTTTGATGGTTCTCTTCAGCTCGCTAACGTACGTCATTTCTCCAGCTTTTGCTTCGAAGCTGCGTTTGGGTTGGAGAGCGATGCAACAATTCGGGCTATCTTCGCCAATTTTTCCAGCGCGGGGCTCGTAAGTAATCTGTGCGGAGACATCGTTGTACAGAGGCGTTCCTGAAAACAGGCCAGCAGCCAAGGATTCTGATGATGTTGTAGCTGTAGGTTGCTATTTTTGACGCGGGAGCTGCTTGAATGATGTCGGCTGCAGCTGCCCAAGAATCGTCTGCTTAACAAGTTCTGGCCCCCGAAGCGTGCCTCGCCCGCCGTCACGCTACCAACACTCCTGAAGATCCAAGCAACTTGGCTGTGTGTGTGGTCGATCGATATTTAAGCTGCGTGATTGATTACTGGCGAGCACCAACAGACGCCAATACTGCGGGTTTCATTCCTTCCTTGGCCCGCCCCGTCAAGACACGGAGTAGCACCCTCTTCTGGTCTAGCCGCATTCAAGTATTCCAGTTCTGCATTTAGATTGCCACAAACATCCAAGAAAGACAAAGCGCCGTGTTGAATCCCAACGTTTGCACGCCATAACAGACAGAGGTGTCTCGTTCCTCAAGGCTCCAGTAGCGAGCATTGATAACGGGCAGGGGTTTACGCCTATGGTACCGCCGCACCCACCCTGCAGCGAACTTCAAAATGGAAGAGGGTAAGTATTGAGGAAACGATTATTGGTGCGCCCAACTACCTAGCCAATGGATAGATAGAATCTTGCGTGGCAATGCGAAGCCACTACTCAATCCACCATTGAGGCCAGCCGTTGACGTTTCCCAGTTAATCACACCTTCACCTTAGCCCAACACCCCCCTGACGAGAGCTCTCATACTTTTTGAAGGGAGGATATGATATAGCGTGAATGAAGTCCACTGCTTCTATTTTCTGATCCCTGATTTACTGGTTTCTTTACTATTGTTATCCATGTCGCTGAGGCGTAAATGATTGAATTAACAGCCTCATTAGCGAATTGTGGGAGACCTATTTACAGCTTCCCTCGGACCCCGCACGATGTTCATGCGGAGCCCCTCCTGAATTCCAGCTAGCATGAGGAAGCCAATATCGGCTGATTTCTTGCTTTTTGGGTTTAGGTCTCCAGATCAATTGGGCTCGAAGTACAAGCCGGCATGTGACGGAGTATAAACACTCTCCGAGGACGTCCCTCACCCTCTGACCTGCCGTGCGCTTTTCAACTCTCACAGAGCCACATACCTGCTCGATCCAGACTCGAGGTTAGTCCCATTGATTATGGAATCATTCTCCTCGACAGCTTTGTTATACTGGCCAAGGAACTGGCCAGATCGCGAGACCTTGGACCTCCAGTCACTCATTTGTACAGTCTGGCCTCAATATCTCACCCTTCAAGAGGCTTGTGGCATACTTGACCAGTTTCACGGGCCGGTCTGGATGCTGGATAAGCAGGTTCTTTGGACAGGTTTAGGTCAAAAGTACACCCTGGTTGATTCTTACGCGCGAGAACACGGAATGCAGACTTTGCGAATTGCTATGGGACCTTTGATGGATCCGCAAAATCCTGCCTGTCTCAAAAGTCAGAAGTCAACCAAAGAATGGGGGAGATACATCAGGGGCGCCTCACTCATCTTCTCGTGGCGTATATCACAAGGAGATGTCGCTACTGTACTGACGCAGCCCCCGCCAACCCGCTTCAATCCACATGGACGAACAGCCTACCAGGAAATTGAGGAGCCCGTTCTCAAGGGCATTTTTGGAAATCGACCTATTGATCGAATCCTGGCAGTACATCCAACAATCGAGATCGCTCAAACGTTTCCACCGTATGAGATATTTCCACAAGATCAACAGGACACCTGGAAGGATGTTTTCGGGGGTGTCAAATGCTCCAAGCATACCTGGAGGGATGTTGATAGGAACATACGTACGGGTTCACCTGTCCAAAAGCCTCATACCTGAAAGACTTCCTGATTAGTAGGCAGCTTTACCAAAGTGGGCTATCACGTCAGCGGCCTATGGGTTTCTCGGCAACGAAAATCCTAAGTCTCGCTCTGTCGAAATATTTCTCTGCGGGTTTTTGATTTGCGCTGGCATATCCTCCCAGTTGTTTTTGGTCATCCTGGTAATCTTCTCCCTTCTGGTGGTTCAAGGCACGGTTGGAATTCCTTCGATCTCCACGCATTTTACTGAAATCGAATCCGAGTGTTGTGATCTCAGACTGGCGATTCCATCTACCGAAACAATCATCACCAAGGACTTCGACAAAAAGCTCAAAGCTTTGAAGACCAATAAGAATAGGTTGGAGGCTCCGGTTTCTCTAGGAGCGGTTTCTCCGAAGGCAGCAGCGGAAGCGGATCCACCCAAGTTCTCCGACAGGGAAGAAGTAGCAAAGCTGGTCAATCCTGCGAAGGTACCCAAGACGAAGGATACTGTCAAGCAAGCTTTATCATCTCCGACGGCTCTGGAGGCTCAATCATCACTGGTCAAACCCATTACGCCCCCATCGAATCAATCTAGTGCCCAAAGAAAGGAAGATGTTAAACCGACTTTAACGAAATTGTCCAAGGCCAAAGCAGCAGGAGCCACCGAGGTAATACCCGAATCGTCAACACAAGGACTGAACGTCCCAACCCCTAATGAGCCCGGAGCTGAGCCCCACAAGAAGAAGAAGAAGACAAAGAAGAATATGGACGGTGGAGAGGACCTGGTTGCAAAAGGGAAACCGAAGAAGTCGCACAAGAAAACGGAAAAGGAGAGTGTCGACTGTAAGGGGAAAGCTAAGTCTCAAGCTCTCCCAGACACCAATCTGTCTACTGTTACAGAAAATCCGGTGGCTGAAGGAACCAAGAAGATCAAGAAGAAGAATAAGGTAACGCCTACAAAGGTGAAGGGCATAGCCTTAACAACGAAAATATCTTCCAAGGGGAAAGAGGCGGAGAAGAGAAATGAAAGTGAAAACCAGCCGGGAAAATCAACCAGACCTCGTACTTCAGCGAAATGAACAGCGGTCTAATGAACTGGGGAAATTCGCTTCAACTTTCACTAAGACTTCAGATGCCATTTCTTCCCATGCATCTTCTAACCGCACGTTAATTTCTAGTGTGCCAATGACAATCTGTATTTGAAAAGTGTTCCGAGCCGTGGTTGAAGTGATCCCGCTTACTCAGCTGCTCCCATGGATTGGTTGTATGAGTAGTCGCAACTTGCCGATGTCCAGCCATCATGAATCTGGCGACCCGCATAAGATCCCAGACCAAGATCGTACCTACAAAAAAGTTGCGAGGCAATCTTGTTACTCGTGGCTTCCGGGGTTCCTACTAATCAATGCTTCAGAGTAGTCTCTGTCCTGATTGGGCGGCTGGTGGATGGAGCGGAGTGCGTGGCAGAGCGGTTTCAGGGAAGATAAAGTTGCGTTGAGCCGCAACCCAGCGCATTGCTTCAGCGCATTGCTGCGTCGACTCGCCATTTCATTGAACTTCGCAGACTCTTCATACTCACTCGTTGTTTCTTTATTCTGTGCTGTTTGATCCACGTTCGTGTTGTTGCCTAGCTCGTAACCATTAGGCGTGTCATGTCCTCTTCCACTCGATTGTTTGCTGCTTGATTTTCAGTCACGTCTGTGTTCCCTGTAGTCTAATGAGTAGGTATTTACGTACAGTCTACTTTAATCTTGATGTGGTTAAGCTTTCCTTATGCAATAAGGACATCCTGGCTTAGGTGCGGGCGCAGAAGATGGGATGAAGCCAATTTAAGCTGGTGTTTGTCCATACTTTAGTTTCAATAGCAGCGTTTCAAGATGAGAACGCCAAGTTAAACGTTACTCTAGGGCGCTCTTTACGGCGCTCTCGGAAAACCATACCAATTTGAGTCGTGACCCGAAGTCTCTGCCATGGCGCATTTTTGTAACATCATTCCCACCTCGCTGGCTTTTACTGTGACCACGACGAATTTTCCTCCATTTCGAAAGTACAGACGGCTTGTGCAACGTATGATACCTTAGCAAGGACACAACGTGTGGATCGATACATGCGCTTTCAACATGAGGACCGCTATCTGGTTCTGGTGGACGCTTGCTTACGCCTTTCTGGCGATTGCGGGCCTTCTACCCCGACGCACTTTCAGCTTTTTGAACGATGATACAATCGCGATCGAAGACTCGGGGAAGGCTTTCGTGGCCAGCAGCGCCCCTGAGGGCGCATGTGCAATGGTGCAGCCGGCGGTGAACAAGTTTCTACAAGACAAGCCGAAAGGTACGTCAATTTACAGACACTCCTGTCCCTATTTCTTCAAGATCGCTACGCTCAGGAAAGGGGGTTGGTGCCTCACATTGTACTGAGGTCATTGCTGATACTCATGAACAGCCCTCCCAAGAGTGCCAGCAAAGCTTGCCTTCGACTGCTTGCAATCTGTTCCAAATAAGCCCGACCCTGCCAAAGAACTGCTCAAAAGCTTGAAGACGTATGTGCAACTTCAAAGCACACTTCCTTTTCTCAAAAACCCCCCGGCTTCGTACAAACTTCCAGCAGTCGACATTGAAGGCGGTTTCCAATCCATTGGAGATAAGGTAGCCAGCAACAAGTACCAGAGCGAATATGACTTCCAATTGGACATTCTCGACCTGATCTCATCGGCTCACGATGGCCACTTTGTCTTCCGGGGCGATATGTTCAAAACCTTCAGTTTTCGCAATGGTCTCGTCACTGATGTGGTCTCAATATCTCGCGACGGGGTCGAGGTTCCCAAGTTGTACCATCTCAGTACGTCAGAAGTCTGTAGCGAACCATGCTTTTACTAACAATCTCCAGAGCAACTTCGCCAGAACGCATCCGCACCAGCCATTACTAAGATCAACGGGAAAGATGCCAACGTCGTTATTGCAGACCTGAACCTCAAGTACAGTGGTCTTCAAGATCCAGACTCACAGTGGAATTCCCAGTTTAATTCATACGCAACCAAGCAGAACTCTATGATCTTAGCCGCCTCGCCCATTTTTCAAGGCCCGATGCTCACTCTGACGTATGAAAATGGCGAAGAGCGCTCTGAAGAAAGCGTTGCTGTTATCCGTCCGGGCACTAACTTCACCGACATAAAGAACGGCGAGGACTACTACAATAAGTTCTGCAATCCTGTTATGGTCTCCACGAACGTACTATCTGAGGCATCGAACATAAGGACGCAGTCAAGAGCCAAGGGCCCAATGGAGGCGCTGTCACCGATGGTCACGCCCATAGACGGCTATCCGGTCCCTGAAGTTCGGGACAAGGGCATCAACGCGACTGCAGGGTATTTTTTGAACGGTACTGGATACGATGACGTTGCTGTACTAGCTGTGTCTTCTTTTGCGCCGCCAGAGACGGTAGACAGCTTTGCATATCTGAATGATTTTCAGCAAACGGTTGAGAAATTCCTGGCCGCCAGTCAAAAAGCTGGGAAGAAGAAGCTCGTCATCGATGTCACTGCCAACGGCGGCGGCTTCATTCTTGCCGGATTCGATTTATTCGCCCAAGTAAGTGTTATGGATTCACCCAATTTGCACTGCTGACTTCTTCGGTAGCTTTTCCCTACTGTCAGTCGTTTTCAGGCAAATAATTTGCGCCTTCCACCCAGTGTCAATACTCTCGCGCGGCTCGCTGCTGCTATCCCTGCGGACTTCAAACCCAAGACCCCCGAAGAGAACAAGGCCCTGGGCAACCTGCGCGGAAGTCCTATTCTCAGCAATCTCCTCCCAAAAGGCGTGTTCACACCGGACCGCGTAGCCTTCACTTCTTTGGAGCAAGTTCTACGTCCTGTTGTATTGAACGGCGACAACTTTTCGGCTTACCAGCAGATCCCGATGGATCAACCAGATCCTCTATTTAACCTCACTGGAACTGGCCCCAGGACTAACCCGCCTGCGAGTGTTTTCACTCCGGAAAATATCGTCCTCCTCACAGACGGTACCTGTGCATCCACTTGTACCATCTTTTCATATCTCCTCATCCTCCAGATGGGTGTGAAGACTGCGGTGATGGGCGGTCGCCCCCAGACTGGGATAATGCAATCGATCGCAGGCGTCGAAGGTGCTCAGCTCTTTTCATATAACGACATAACAATCGACGCAACTTCAGCTCTACTGTTGGCACCTGAGAACCAGAAAGCCGAGCTGCAAAACGGCGATCTTGGTGAGCTAGCTAAAGCATACGCCATAAAGCGCGCCGCAAACCCCAAAGCCGCAGGCGCTGTGAACGGTAAAAACGCTTTCGCCATGTCCAACGCCACGGTACCGCTGCAATTTCTCTGGGAGCCTGCGAACTGCCGGTTGTTCTACACATACGAGACACTTACCCAGCCAGAGGCCGCATGGAAACGTGTCGTCGATGTGACGTGGAACAACCGCCCACAGCTGTGTGTTGCCGACAGTATTGTGCCGGCTGCCAAGCCCGCGACAGTCGACCCCTTTTTCCAGCAGAGCGCGAAGGATTTGGGCCTCGGCAAAGGTGGATAGACTGGAGAACGAACATTGAGGGTTTCACCAAAGTCGCGTCTCAGCTTGCTCGTAATTTGGTAGTAGAGCCAATCGAGATGAATTCCACAACGTCATCAACTTTGCTTGTTGCAAGAGGAATACGAAAGCGACTGGTTATGTGATTTCATCCTAAAATATAAGGTTACCGTAAATTCATCCTGCACTAATGGTGACACGGAAGATCACGAGCCTTTCACACATGGCTTGAACCGGCCTGTATCTACGTCTAAGCCAAAATAGAGCGATATATCTGGCCCGTGTACACGACGGTCTTAAACTCCTTCTCAGGACCAGCCGGGCGACTCTTGTTGTGAATGCTCAGCTGGGGTTCGAGCAGGTTGTGGATCCAGTTCCAGTAAAGGTTCGGATTCCTATTTTTCGGCAAGAGATTATTATTTGCATCTGACCTTTGCTCATATTGAACAAGTACTCGGATTGCTGAACGGTGAAAGAAAGGCTGTAACCTAGTTTTAAGGAAGCCCGCACCGCCACAAAATAAGCATAAGCACTTGTCTTGTATACTGTGATCACTGTTACTTTCTTTGAACAAACTTCCTGTCCTCCAGAGCGTTTTATCCATTACTCTGGCTACGGTTATCCTACTTCAGTCATAAATCGGCCAGATGACTCGGCCAAAATATGTTTGAATGGAAACCCCCCAAACCTAACCATCAGCGAGAGTTTGGAAGATTATACATAAGTCTTTGTCGGCGGTCGACAATACCATCAATTTAGTCCAACCGGGCTGACATCCGTGGTCCATGGCACTCATATCCGTCGTAGTGATGGCCATCGCGCTTGCTATGTCCTTTCTTTGCTTGTCAAAGTAGTCGCCCGTGGGCGGCCGATTGAATGGAGCAGTTTCGGGATCCAATGTCTCCACCCCCACCCAACCGTGACCGGTTGAAAGGTGGGATAGCGGTGATGTTTATTTATGTTCGGACTAGGCGAAAGCAACTTCAATAAGACAAGGTCTACACCCTGTTGCTCGTCTACGGTTCAGCCTATCCTAGACTAGAAAGATACATTCCGACTGTTAAACAGCGAAGCTCATTAATTCATGTTGCTGTCAGACAAAAGAATCCGGATCTGCCAATATCTTGTGTGCCGGTTCCCCTCACGTTTCTGTGTTGATGCCGCAGCTAGCCTCTTCATCAGCTTCCATTGATGTTGTCACCTGTTCAAGGTGGATGACACACCCGGTCTAGGCGCTAGTCCAGATGAACGCCGGTTCGTTCGGCACCGTCGATCGAATGCTTATCGGACGACAGATCGCGAGTTTCCCCACGCAAAGGACAGCCGCCGAGTTCCACCAACACAACAGTCGCGCGGCTGCTGACATGAGCACGCCCTCGTGTCCCGCGTAACCCGTGTGTCCCGCTAATCGCCGGGTGCCCGGCACGCTGCGTGGCATTCCAAAACAGGGGCTGGCTGTGGCCACTGGCTCTTCGGTTGCCGCGAGTCAGTATCCCCGCCCGTGTTGGTTCTCGCAGCCGGAATAAGAAAGTCTGCTCCCCTGAAATCACGGAATTTATATCGCAGGTTGTCTCTATTAGATTGACATTACCGGAAAACATGCGGCAGGTTAATATTGAATAGAAGCCGCGCCTCGGTATTGCTCCACGACGAATCGCACTTGATAGGGCCTTATTGCCTCCGTTATGAGACGTTTGACATCATCGCCATAGGGCGCAACTGTGCCCGGTCATGCCGGATGACCTTGCTGCTGGTTCTTAGTTGCCGTGATACCCCGGATTCACTCAATTTGAGTTTTCCAGTCTGTTGAATCAAGCATTGGTGGCACTTGGTTGTCACCTATCAAAGAATGGCTAAGCATTCTGCCGCTATTCGGACCGGGTCTATCTTGAAAACATGGGGATATCTCCTTTTCGGTAGTGTCCGTCCCGGGTCTTCACAATGGCAGCTCTCACTTAGGTAATAATCGTCCACAGCACTTTGCACACAAACACGTTCCACTTATACAGACGTCACTATCTGCCGTTGGTTGACCCATTCGCGGGGGTGCCTTCTGGATCGGAACGCTGCATCCATGTCAAGATCCACGATCATCGCCCCAGCAGGTCTCCGAAACAGCTGTGTAGAGTTGCAATTAGAGATGGCCCGACGTGGTACCAGGCAGTGGGTGTATTCCGAATCCGAACTTGGAAAACATGCAGATCAGTTTACCGCCGGCAGACATCAGTGGCCGGGAAATTCTATAAAGACAGCCCCCATCTCATCCCAAGAGCTACTGATCACACCATAATCAACCAGTCAAAACGCCTGCTGCTCAGTCCTTCTTTCGAACTACCTCCAGTCCCTCTTTGTCCGTGTATATAAACCGACTCCAAAATGAAGGCCTTCACCGTTCTCTTCAACCTTGCCTTGGCCGCCACGGCCATGGCCGGTGCCGTCGACACCCGCGCCCTGGAGCCCGGCTTTGCCGAGCGCGCCTGCGGCACCACTGGAGGTAAGTACCATGTTTACTCCCTGAACATACAAAGCGTGGAACTAACGCCAGCTCCTTTATAGCTCCTTGCACCAGCGGCGACGACTGCTGCACCTACTGCGACCCCTACTCCGGCTGGACTTGCACTGACTCCACCAGAGCCTGTGTTGAGAAGGGCAGTAAGTTTACATCAGCCCATCTCCCATGGAGTTATGTTGCAGATTCGGGTGCTAACAAACTGATTTTCCAGCTGTTCCCGCTCTTGGCCAGAACGACTGCTGCAGCTACAAGGTCGACGCTGATGGCAAGTGCACCTAAACAATCAGGCGAGGGGTGGAAGCCCCGGGGGAAGGTGTGCGGTGTTCAAGACCTTCATCCACTGTACATGAATTTCAAGTTTCAAGCGTATATATACCAAATCGAACATGCAATGAATGCACATGCTGCAAAGTTGACACAGCTACCAAAATCAAAAGTCCAATGGGCAGCCAAGGGTGGATGTCATTTATCACCGGTGACCAACGCATCCTTCAGCTGTCGCGTAAGGCATCATACCCCATCGCCAAGTACATGATTTTCGACCCATAGGAGACGGCTGACTTGGGATGCATACTTGTGTTTCTCACCCAAGCTGTCTACCGTGTCCAGAAACTTACGTATTCATCCGGATCAAGTTCCAGGACGTTGTCATTCCTGTTCCTAGCCCGAATTGAAAAGCCTCGTTGCGCAGGAAACGCGTAGTATAGCGAGACATACTTTCGTTCCTCAACGTCGATGTCGTGTTCGACGAAATGTATCTGAAGCAATTAGCATACTTGTACGACAAGGCCTGGTCCTTCTCCTACGCACCTGTAGGAATAGTTGCGCCTGGACAATATTAACACCGTCCGGCTTGACAAGATCGCTAAAGCTTCGGATTCCGTCCCAAGACGACTTCACAGTCACATATCGGTTCCCAACGATCTGGGTCAAATTCTGGTAGACTCGGTCAATGTGGTCCCGATCATGGCTATTCGTGGCCCAAACGAAGTATTTCCGAATCCAGCGGTCTGAGTTGTGCCGTTGGCAGAATTCAAGCCATGCAGCGCCTTTGAACTGAGTGATACTAAAGCATGAGCCCATCGCCTTTGGTAGTCATTCTTGCTTGACTTACCTCTTTCGAAGCCTTCATCATGGCCATGTTATTTCTCGTCAGCTCAACATCCCATCCAATGAACTCTGCGCCGATCTTTACGTAGTTTTCGTTCAGGCTCAAACGTATACACCAAGGCTCCGCCCTTTGATATTCGCGCCGTAGTCTCCGTATTCCAGCCTCGTCATAATCTGCACAACATCTGACGGTACAAGGCTTGTTCGTTAACTTATAGTAGCCTCGCATCTCGGATGAATCGCTGCCAGCATCGTCGTCTTCGCGCAAGGAGTCAGAGTCATCGACCTTGCATGTACAGAGGATGTTTTCGTTCAAAGGGTCGGGCTCAAGGTCCCGCATGTAGTCCAAAGAGGACTGAGAGTCGTCTGACCACTCGTCATTAAACTTCGTCGCTTCGTTAGCAGGCATTGGCATCTCGTTCTTTCTGGTAATCTTTGAAAATGGACACAACGTCAGTCCACCGCCGAACAGTGTAGTTTGAGCCGTCTTGCAGCGGGGAAGACCTGCCAACAGCGGTTTTGAGGGATCTGAATCACTTCTCTGCCCTCCATTTCGTCACTGTGATTAGTCTTTTCCCTCGCATTTCCATCGGTCACGGCGGGCGGGGCAGACTATGTTGAGCTGATGTGGATAGATCAAAGGATGGAAGGAAATGCGGGGAGCAGAATGTGTGGGAAGTCTTGAGAGAGAGAAGAAGGTGGCGGACTGGGTTGGGGCGGAATCCTCAACCAGGGACCTCACCAAGCTTGACCACCGCAGCCCCTGGATGTTTGCTTCATCTGTGTTGGTCCATGGCACCACCGCCTTTAACCGCCGTGCCGTCGCTCTCATACCCCTGCTCTACCAATGCGACGACAACTTCGCTCTGCAGGACTTTGTTGGTCTATCAGAACTTATCTGAGACAGGCTGTCGAGACCCAATGCTCAATAACAGACCCAAGCCGCAATTTTTCAGTCTATTCGACTGGATGCCAAACTCAGTGTCATAAATGGGACATTCGCCGATTTCAATCACACTACACAGGAAACTCAAATAATCCTTATATCATGATTTCAAGACTCAAGCTATGTCGGAGAGGTCTTTGTTGCGCAAGCGGGCATGAGTTTTGCGAATGGCTCACAAACAAAGGTATCTGAAAATTCTCAAAAGGCCTACCTAGCTTCTTACTTATATATCCCGTCCAGTCATCCTATTCTAGGCTCAATGGGTTGCCTATAGCTAGTTCAGCAGGGTTCGTAGTGCGTATCGGTCAGCTTCGGGTACAGTCCCAGAAGCGTGGTTCGATTGGAGAAGATTGGGACGACGGAAATCCTGCATCAACAGATGCGCATCACTCAAACCGAACAGCGAACTCAGATCGGCAATCCTGATTCCGCAAAGCCAAACCCCACAAACTCAGAAATCTTGCGGGTAAACAATTCCTGACTCACACGACCACATCTCTGACGGCGGGAAGCTCGAGAACCCACATGGAACTCAATCTCGTGACAGAACTTATACGATAGCATCTCTCAAATCTAGAACACGTTTGACTTCTGGAACTGCGGGGTATGTCCAATCACAGCGGCCTGATGGCGTGATGGATACACTCAATCTACCGAGTTTGTTACAACTGTCTCCTGATTCCGAGGTGAGATCCAAATGCGAGCTCGTCATGACAGAGACGAATAAAACTCAACGCGCCGCAGGGGGCCTCAAGTTTGATTCATTCAACGCCGTAACGAAACTTCACGAGGATTCCGCCGAAAATGGATGAACTAACTGATGCATTCTACCATTGGCATTTAGCAGCTCCCGAATACAATCGGCTACTCAAAATCATATGCCCCAAATATCTATCCAGAAAGGAGGCGGACAATATCATGCGTCAATTCAATGAGATATGGGTTGATGACAAGCAGGTTCTTTGGAGCGGCGTCGATCATGACTTGGCCGAAGAATGGGCAACGCGGCGCGGGATGCAAACGCTCACTTGCGCCATGGGCCGGCCCTCTGATGAACTGGACCCATCCAAAGTGCAGGAGAATCTACAAATCGGGCGTACAATGGACCAGATACATGAAGGGTGTTTCCGCGATCTTCGCCTGGAAAATTGCCCAGGGAGATATCACCACGCTTTTGGCACCTCCGCCGCCCGTTCGCTTTCACCCGTCGGGGCTGACGAACTATCAAGATATCGAAGAACCAATTCTCAAAGGGGCAGTTCATGGCATTGCTGTTGGCAAGATTGTCGTGATACATCCAGAGGTTGATGGAGCTGAGGATATGGAGTATGAATATTGGCCCAAGGACCATGTGGCTAAGTGGTACGCGAAGTATGGTTCCAAGAAGCATGGGACTACGAGATGGAGAAAGATAAGTTATAAGAGACGTAAGCTAATGTTCGGATACATCTGAAACTGGATGCTAATCGAAACAAGGTGCTACAATCTGGCCAGCCAAGGTAGATATGCATCCTGTACCTTTCGGAACGGCAATGACATGTGAAATGGAAGTTTTCATGATCACCGGCTTACTTCTCTTCGCCGAAGTTTGCATGTCCTTAGCTATTTTACTTGGAATGCTAGTGTACTATTTAGCTTTCACGCTGTGCCCACAAAATCATGGCTACAGTTGTGGGCATCACAAGCCTGAGAGGCTTATCATCGCTCTTCTACTCAGAAGAATGATGTTGATCTCAACGTAAACGTTGAAGAAGGAGCCGACCCGGCTACCTTATCCCTTTCTGTGCCTCATCCATCTTCCATGAAGACTAATGAGTCGGTCATGGGTGGTGTCAAGAGACTCAGATGCACCAAAGTACACCGGCATTCCGCCAACGGCGGCAAAGGAAAAATAATGAAACGGCTGAAGAGCAGGCAGCGACAGGGCCCAAAAGACAAGATCGACAGTATGAGCAACGGAGCTGTAAGGTTGTTCCAACACCTAGGAATTTGGAAGCTGGACAAAGATGAAATCACTCAGACAGAGACTCTCACGGACAATCAGATTGGAAAATCGGGCTATTGTGAACTTTGAGCAGGATGGAGTTTACCAGATTGCCACAACACCTGAACATTTGATGTATTGAATAAGATGGAATTGATATGTCTTTTCAAATTTGTTCATTCACGACCAGTTCCATATTGACTAGAAGATCCGCCAAAGGTAAGAGTGAGTCCGTTCAAAGTTTCTATCAGTTGTGGACTCAAAGGCACCTCGAGGTCCTCATTACAGCTCTTGTTGTGGTCTTGTCCTATCGATCAAAGTTCATGTCTTTCTATTTACACACCCAGGTCTGGGATTGCTTGAAACTCTGTGGTATCCTGCCAACAGCTTTCGAGTTGCTGTCATGCTATTCGATCCCTAGACAGCAGCTTTTACCAGCAATCAACACATGAGTGCTTCGGAATATGCCGTCATCTCATTCTACATTACAATATCCCATCACGAAGGGCGAGCACGTCTCCGAATAGGCACATGTTCGAAACAAAATCTTTCACATGAGATCGACCGAGCCTGAGCTGATACCTCAATACTAGCATCTCAGTAATTCTCGGAGAATTCAGCGCGATGAGCAACTCTGTGTTACCTGATATCCTACAACTACATCTGGTGTCAGACGGGATCACCAGTCCTCGATGAAGACCTGAACGCCAGATCCCTCAGCTGTAGTCGCCGATCCCCTCAGACATCGAGCGACCGTCATCCTACATCAATCCGATACAACCTCACGCACAAGAAGCAAAACTGCCCGAGATCATCATCCCGCCGACGGCCTCGGGCCTCAAGACAGGCGTGCAATCTCGATATCTTCAACCCCTCTCAAACGGTTTGACGTCAGCGGTCTCACATCTCCTGCCTATCATCTCGCAACCGCACCCAGAAGCACGTGAAGAATCACCCTCCCAGGCAACGCCCTTGGCATCACAAATCCTCCGGATCAGCTCACCAGAGGACCCCTATTCCCCCAGCTAACCCACAGAAATTCGTCCTCACCTCACCCATTGCAGTGCCCCGAAGCGCCCCCCGTTCCACAAAAACAGCACATCATTCAGCGACGATCAACGGCGTGCAGTCCCCTCTTTTCAGGCGCAACGGACGTCCAGTCCAGCTCGAAGCCAAGGGCGATGACCGCACAGCCAACCAGACAGCAGCACTGTGAACGAACCACTGGCGGAGCAGACGAGAGGAGGGGGCGAGCCGGTCTAGAACTGCGGGACGATCACTGGCGTCATCCACCAACCCTCCAACGTTCCTCCCTCTCAGGGTCCTTTGGGTGTGCCCGTGTATGGCAAGGAGCAGCGCCGCGGCGACACCCTCTCGAAATCTGAAGAGGTGAGGTGTGATAAGCAAATGCGAGGCAGCCTCGAGGACCCCGAAACGTCTTCTTGCAGGCGCGACCTACCGTGCAGAACTTCAAGAACGGCCCCCTCTCCTTGGGTATCAATCTCACACCCATTGACGAACTAGAACGTCGACGCAGGCCGTCGCAGCACTTCTGCAGCAGTCGATTTCAGACCTAGACAGAAGCTGCCAGAAACACCGGCACGCCGGCGTGTCAGGATAGGATGATAATTCCCGACCCTCCATTCCGTCTCGAAAAATTTCCCTGAACAACCGTCCGAGATTGTTCGTCTTGTTGGGAGAGTACCGGTACCTACCAAAAGCGCGATGCGCCTGCTACAAGGCCAGGTTCAAAGCGGTGCGGATCGATGCGCGCTGACTATCTGGGATGAGACGGGGGGGGCATGGATGGGTCGCAATTGACCGAGAAGAACATCAAACCAATTTGACGACGCAATTATCAAAAACAATAAGCCCACGCACGCGAGAGACAGGCCACCTCAACAAAGCATTGTTCCCGATAACGCAAGCACTGACCCAGGAAACAACGCACAGCCTCGCGCGAAGCTAGCCGCCTCCCGACCACGGCCAAGGGAGAGAGAGAGAGAGACTGGGAGGAAGAAGCACCGGGGTGGTCGGGGGAACAGACGCCCCCAACCAACCAACCAGCCAACCAACTCAACCAGCCCAGCCTCTAAGAGTGTAGATGCAACTAGGGACCCTGCCAACGCTGCAGAAAATAACAGCGAGCGAGCGAGCGCACAGAGTTTTCTCTGTTGCCTTTTTGGGGGAGGGAGAGGCAAAACTAGATGGATGCGCACATCTCATTTCCACCGACGTTGGCAGTAGTCTAGTTCCCCATCCACATCACACCGCACGCACAACAACGCGCGCATGGCAAAAGCTCCACTGAGGCGAGGTTGGCATCTCGAAAAAGCCGTGCGACATGTAGTCCGTTATTGTGTAAGTTTCTCAGAAGCGAGTAGCGCCAACGGGGCAGGCATGGCAAGTATGCGATATTTCGCCGCGCAACGCCGTGCGTCGTATCCACCACGTCCCGGTCTGATATGATGATGATGTGGCCGTGGTTCGGTGGCTCCACTCAAGCAGCCTCAACATCTCGAACTGCGAACTGCTGCTGGTCGTCTCCCGTAGTGGGAACGGTTTTCAGCTTCGGAAAACCGGATCTCGCGGGGTTGGGGCGTTCTGGCCAGAGAGAGAGGGCGGATGCACGAGCGGTTGCTTATCGTTCTCCTCGCGGAGGCGGAGACGGGTGAGAAGTAGTCTATTCTCTGGAGAATGGAGACGCAACGGCTGGCTGACAAGACACGATGCGTCTGTCCGGATCTGTTTACGGATATGCCTTGAGGGGCCTGGAGATAAGAGCTCTCTGTCTCAGTTGAAGCAGCAGCAGCATAAGCACAGTTGCGGGTACAGCACCAACAGCATTTCTATTCACAGCACGCACCCAGGCTCACGCAGGGGGTGTTGGAACAGGACAAACACTCGCAGCAGTATTCTGTCCGACATTTGCGGTGGACATGGGTTGAATGAACGAACGAACGGAGATCGACGCGTCCGTTCGCCTTTCCGCAGACCACCACACACGCAACCCACACATCCACATTCTCTCCGAGAGGGCAGCGCAGCCCACCGAGGCCGCAGATTTGACGCGGCCGTTCATTTCGAGGTTCCAGTTCCATCTCACCATCTCCATCTGCCTCCGCGCTTACGGCCCCATCCCATGCCGCAGGACCCGTTCCGACACTCACCTAGATTGTGTTGATCGTCTCGTTTCTCCTTCTCCTTCTCAACATTGCCCAGCCCCAAAAGGCCCCATTCGCAGTGCACACACATTGCACCAGCGGAGCCTCCACCTCTGCCCGCATCTTGACACGGTCTAGACTGAGCCCATCAAATCCTTCCTCTCCTCACTACACACCGAGCCCTGCCGCCTAGCCCCAGCACCCCGTCTGATCCACGGCCGACGCACCGTTCTCAGATCAACAAAGGCCTCCTGTCAAATGAAGACCTCTCGAACATGCCAAACGTCCAGCGCCTACTGTTACCTAAACCACAGCAGAGCCCCTCCGCGGCCGGAGCCACTCATCCATCCATCCATCGCCGTCCCGGCGTCAAGATCAAAAGACTTTGCCAAAGATGCAACGTTCTCTCTCTAAACGAAGCCCGGAGCCCCTCTCTTCCTCGCCTCCTGCCTGCTACATGGCATCTGTAACTTTGACAGGCCCTGGGCTCCTCCCCTCCCCCCTCGTACCCGCATCCGTATCTGAGCGGAGCCAGATATCCACCCCAACAGCAACAGCAACCCGCAGCGGACGAAATATCTCAATAATTTCCTCATGCACGTAATTCGCCTCTCCCTCTGCACGACACATACACCCGCCTTGTGTTGCGCCTCGCCTCTTCCCAGTCCTCATAATGCCGCGTTGAAATTCTCGCCATCTTACGTACGCTCCAAGGCAACAGCATCCACCACCACACAGACTCGCCGACCATCGGCCTGTTGGGTTTCGATAGGTCTTGCAGCAACAACATTGGTCAATTGGCAAAGAAACAAAACCACTCTCGCAATCGCACTTTTCGTCAATGAACCAAACCCCGGTCATGATCGGAGCATTTCGCACAGCCAGCGCTGCGAACCCTCTGCGCCCTGTAAAATCTTCACTCAAAAACCCGCGCAGCATCTCCGTCCCCCGTGGCCCCCTTGTCTCTTGTCGCAGCTCGCCCGGCCAGTCCAGCCTCTCTAAACCTCCAACCTGCAGCAGCCTCAGTCTGTATCCCCAAGAAGAGAAAAAAAAAAAAAGGCCGCATCTCATCGCGGATCAAACGCACGATGATATCGCATCATCAAGCCAAGCAATTCCAACCTCGCATCCAGAGCCTCACCTCGCCTCGCCTCTTGTACCCATATCCACATCCAAAGGGCCATGTCCCTCTAAACCCCTTAGCCCATCTAGCAAGATCCCGCCATCTAACATCCAAACAAAGGAAACACAAAAAAACCACCACCAGATCCAACAACCACGCCCCCCCCCCCCCCCTCTCACCAT